TTTCTTCATCCATAACGTAACCCTCAGGAACAACAGGCAATTCATATTTAGGGGGAGAACCTTCATCATCACTATCTTCAATAATATCATCTTCAATAATTTCATTCTCTCTAACCCTAGCTAGTTGTTCATCAAGAAATTCACCTAATGGCAAGTAGTATCAAGCAAAGAAGTAGTTTCATCATAAGTATCATGCATAGTAGAAGTGGCATCATCAATAACATGCGACATATCAGAATTAATAGCAGAAGCAGGGGTAGGTGTCGCAAGCTTACTCAAAACATAAGGAGAATCTAGTGCAGAGCTAGATGGCAGTTCCTTACCTCTCCTCGTAGTTGAGGGAAAAATCTTAGTTCTTTCATCTTTCAAGTTCCTCATAGTGACCAACAGATATAAATCCCAAGTGACTCAAAGAATAGAGCTATGCTCCCCGGCAACAGCGCCAGAAAATAGTCTTGATAACCCACAAGTACAGGGGATCGCAACAGTTTTCGAGGGTAGAGTATTCAACCCAGATTTATTGATTCGACACAAGGGGAGCTAAAGAATATTCTCAAGTATTTGCAGTTGAGTTATCAATTCAACCACACCTGGATAACTTAGTATCTGCAGCAAAGTATTTAGTAGCAAAGTAGTATGATAGTAATGGTAACAGTGATAAAAGTAACGGTAGCAGATTTGTACCAGTTGTAACAGTAGCAACGGTAAAGTAAATAAGCAAAGCACAATATGTGAAAAGATCGTAGGCATTGGATCAGTGATGGATAATTATGTCGGATGCGATTCCTCATGTAATAGTTATAACATAGGGTGACACATAACCAGCTCCAGTTCATCAATGTAATGTAGGCATGTATTCCAAATATAGTCATACATGCTTATGGAAAAGAACTTGCATGACATCTTTTGTCCTACCCTCCCGTGGCAGCGGGGTCCTAATGGAAACTAGGGGATATTAAGGCCTCCTTTTAATAGAGAACCGGACCAAAGCATTAGAACTTAGTGAATACATGAACTCCTCAAACTATGGTCATCACCGAGAAGTATCCGATTATTGTCACTTCGGGGTTGTCGGATCATAACACATAATAGGTGACTACTTGCAAGATAGGATCAAGAACTCACATATATTCATGAAAACATAATAGGTTCATATCTGAAATCATGGCACTTGGGCCCTAGTGACAAGCATTAAGCATAGCAAAGTCATAGCAACATCAATCTCAGAACATAGTGGATACTAGGGATCAAACCCTAACAAAACTAACTTGATTACATGGTAAATCTCATCCAACCCATCACCGTCCAGCAAGCCTACGATGGAGTTACTCACGCACGGCGGTGAGCATCATGAAATTGGTGATGGAGGATGGTTGATGATGACGACAACGACGAATCCCCCGCTCTGGAGCCCCGAACGGACTCCAGATCAGCCCTCCCGAGAGAGATTAGGGCTTGGCGGCAGCTCCGCATCATAAAACGTGATGAAACTTTCTCTCTAATTTTTTCTCCATGAAAGAGAATATATGGAGTTAGAGTTGAGGTCGATGGACATCCAAGGGGCCCACGAGGCAGGGGGCGCGCCCAGGGGGAGGGGGCGCGCCCCCCACCCTCATGGACAGGGTGTGGGCCCCCTGGCCTTGATTCTTTCGCCAGTATTTTTTATATTTTCTGAAAAGTTGCTCCGTGGATTTTCAGGTCATTCTGAGAACTTCTATTTCTGTACAAAAATTAACACCATGGCAGTTCTGCTGAAAACAACGTCAGTCCGTGTTAGTTTCATTCAAATCATGCAAGTTAGAGTCCAAAACAAGGGCAAAAGTATTTGGAAAAGTAGATACATTGGAGACGTATCAACTACTTGACCAAATAAAAATCTAGCCTTTTCCCAATTTTATATCTTGGCAGATTTTAGCAACTTAACACAAGTCAAGCAATCAACCTACACATGCAATTCTAAGAGTATAGCAAAGGAATGTAAATCATTGCATATGAAGGTAAAGGGAGGAGTTTGGAGGGAGCAAATGCAATATAGATACGGAGATTTTTGGCGTGGTTCCGATAGGTGGTGCTATCGTACATCCACATTGATGGAGACTTCAACCCACGAAGGGTAACGATTGCACGAGTCCACGGAGGGCTCCACCCACGAAGGGTCCATGAAGAAGCAACCTTTGTCTATCCCACCATGGCCATCGCTCACGAAGGACTTGCCTCACTTGGGTAGATCTTCACGGAGTAGGTGATCTCCTTGCCCTTACAAACTCCTTGGTTCAACTCCACGATCTAGACGGAGGCTCCCAGGTGACACCTAACCAATCTAGGAGACACCACTCTCCGAAAGGTAATAGATGGTGTGTTGATGACGAACTCCTTGCTCTTGTGCTTCAAATGATAGTCTCCCCAACACTCAACTCTCTCTCTCATAGATTTGGCTATGGCGGAAAGATGATTTGAGTGGAAAGCAACTTGGGGAAGGTTAGAGATCAAGATTCATATGGTTGAATTGGAATGTCGTGGTGTCAACACATGAGTAGGTGGTTCTCTCTCAGAAAATGAGTAGTGGAAGTGTAGGCACGTTCTGATGGCTCTCTCACTAATGGAGAAGGGGATGGAGGGGTATATATAGCCTCCACATAAAATCTAACCATTACACACAAATTCCCAAACTCGATGGGACCGAATGGTTAAACTCGGTCAAACCGATTTGGTTCAAAATGTGAACGTTAGGCATTTCGGTGGGACCGACAACATCAACTCGGTGAGACCGATGCACTAGGGTTAGGGCAAAACCTCATCTCGGTGAGACCGATCACATGAACTCGGTAAGACCATTTCAGTAATAAGCAAACGGAGACTTGGTCAGGCAAACTCGGTGGGACCGATCGCTCATCTTGGTTAGACCGAAACGTCACGAAAAGGAAACAGAGAGTTTGCAATGCCAACTCGGTGGGACCGATCGCTCACTTCGGTTAGACCGAAACGTTACGAAGGGAAACAAAGAGTTTGCATTCCCATCTCAGTGAGACCGAGATCCCTATCGATGAGACCGAACTGATTAGGGTTTTTGGATATGGCTATGTCAAGTGAACTCGGTGGCGCCGGATGAATCAAATCGGTGGGCCGAGTTTAACTTTAGGTTTAGGACATATGTGGAAATGAAAAAGTGGTTGAGGGATTTTGGAGCATATCACTAAGCATTTTGAGCAAGCAAGCCATTAAGCAACACCTCATCCCCTTTTAATAGTATTGGCTTTTCTTATAGACTCAATGTGATCTTGGATCACTAAAATGAAAATGTAGAGTCTTGAGCTTTTGCCAATATGTGTCCTTAGCATTTTGAGGGGTCCACATCTCTAGTCCATGCCATACCAATCATTGAACTTTCCTAAACATTGATCTTGAAAGAATAATAGTTCAATGAGCTATATGTTGTTATGAATTACCAAAACTACCTAGGGATTAGTTGCTCTTTCACATCCCCACAAACCGGTGGTTGAATACTGCGGTGGTTCATGGCAGGGTGGACTACACGAGCATGCCGCTCGGCATTGGCAGAAGACCAAGGACCAACCATGAGGAGGGTGCACGGGAACCTATCAGGTTCTACGTGCAGAGCCATGACCGGGAGGACATCGCCATGCTCGTCATCCCGCCCGCCTTCAGGCCAGTGATGAAGCAATGGATGGTGCGAGTTCTGGGTCCAGGCGTAGATGTTCAAGGGGCACATGGTACTCGGGCACGGCTGGGAGTACTTCTGCCGCCGACACAAGATCGTCCCCGACAACCTCCTAGTCTTCAGGCTCTCCATGCTGGGGCCGAAGGTGCATATCTTCAACGCCAACACCTCGAACATCTGCATGGTCCGGTGCTCCAAGCACAACTGTGTCAGCGACATCACACATGCCATGTAGTTTGTCTGTCAAGTCTGAACTGAAGTGAGCAGCACCCTGGGTCCTGCATGGGCATAGAATGCCCCGCTGTTTTAAACTTATGCCTAGTAGTACTTATGATCTTCCTGTTCTACTGTGGTATGATCATAGTGTGTCCTATTGTGGACGTTTGTTTTTCTTTGTTCTTCTACTGTTGTTGATGTTCTTTGCTTTGTTCTCGCTGTTCTTCTGCTGTTGTTCATCATAGTGTGTTGTGTGTTGCAAAATGGGTGGTAAGTCCATCATATTTGAAAAGGGTGAGAAGACCTAGTACTTGCACCCAACCAAACAATTGTGCTTTGCATCTGCTAAAGCACAAACACATGCAACCAAACAACATGCACAAACACACTCTATCTTCTCCTTATTTAATATATGGGGCAAATCTTTTGCCTCCGTTTTGAAAAAAACATGCATCCATCTGGGCCTTGATGCAATGCAAGCAACTAATCAACATGCATATGTTGGGTTTTTGCCTGCATATGCTCAGCCAGACCCAACTATTTTTGTAGGCTCTTATGGTGTTTTCTTCTCTGAGACAACGATTTGCTTTGCAGATTGCGATCGTCGACATCTCGTGGTCTTCATTGACGACTTTTTGGCTGCTACTTCTACAAGCTCATGAGTTTAATTTGTTGTGCCAAGGCGTAGACCTATAGGCGGCATCGAGCTATGCTTATGACGCGTGGTCGGTAGATGCAGGATGGAAGACGACTTTGACACCCTCAAGATTTTTATATGTAATTTTATTTTCTATAAGGGCGCGTTTGTATGGATATTTGATACTTCGTATATGACCTTAGGCTTTTCAAAAACAACAAATTGGTATTATTGTTTTCGCAATCTAAAGCAGCATCAAAATTTAAAAGAAAAAAAAATAGCCATAGGCCGTGGCACCAATGGGAGTCGGGTGGCAGCACGCCGCCACGCAAGGGCACAGCAAAGCTAAACCCTCAACAAAAACGCGAAGCGGGGGCAGAAGATAGGGAAGAAACCCTTGCCCAGCTCCAGCCTCCAGGAGAGGAAGACCTCGCCCCCTCCCCCTCTCACCTAATCCGCGGCAGCCAAATGGCGCTCACCTCCCAGAGCCTCTTCTTCACCCCGTCGCCCGCCGGGCCTTCCCGGCGAGGCCGGGGGCGCCCCGTCACCATGTCCGCCGCCGCATCGCACAACTCGCAACCCCGAAACAACCCCTTCGCCGTCTCATCCTCCGCCCCCAAATCCGAATCCAATACCTCCAAAACCGACCTCGCCCTTGGCTCCGCCATCGCCGCCGCCGCCTCCGGCGCTTTCCTCCTCGCCTCCTCTGGCGGCTTTGGGGGCGGCCCCGGGGGCCCCCTCGGCGGGGGAGGCGGATGGGGCGGCGGCGGCGGCGGCGGCGGTGCCGGTGGCGGGGGCGGCGGGGGCTTCTGGTCGCGGATCTTCTCCGCCGGCGCGGCGAATGCCGACGACAAGTCGTCGTCCGACTGGGACCCGCATGGCCTCCCGGCCAACATCACCGTGCCGCTCTCGAAGCTGAGCGGCTTGAAGAGATACAAGTTGTCGGAGCTCAAGTTCTTCGACCGTGCCGCCCCTGGCGGAGGTGGCGCCACGGATGCCGGGCCAGAGGATTCCTTCTTCGAGATGGTTACCCTGCAGCCAGGCGGCGTGTACACCAAGTCGCAGCTTCTGAAAGAGCTCGAGACGCTAGTCTCCTGCGGCATGTTCGAGCGGGTTGACCTAGAAGGGAAGGCCAAACCTGACGGCACCCTTGGCCTCACCGTCTCCTTCACAGAGAGCGTCTGGAGTGCAGCCAAGCAGTTCAAGTGCATCAATGTTGGGCTTATGGCGCAGTCCGGCCAGGCTGACTTCGATCAGGACATGACTGAGAGGGAGAAGATGGACTACCTTCGGAAGCAGGAACGGGATTACCAGCAGCGTGTCCGCGGTGCCATGCCGTGCATTTTGCCAGAGTCCGTCCGAGGGGAGGTTCTGGCAATGATGAAAAAACAGGAGAAGGTGAGTGCCAGGATGCTGCAGAAGATCAGGGACCATGTTCAGAAATGGTACCACAATGAGGGCTTTGTATGCGCACAAGTGGTGAACTTTGGAAACCTTAACACCAGTGAGGTTGTGTGTGAGGTGGTCGAGGGGGACATAACCAAAGTGGAGTACCAGTTCCAGGATAAGCTAGGGAATTTTGTGGAAGGGAATACCCAAATTCCTATCATCGACCGGGAGCTGCCCCAGCAGGTATACATATACACTTCAACACTGCACACCACTAGCTTATAAAACAAACATGGGAGAACAATTTTATTAGCACTACTATGATGTTGTACAGTCAACTAATCTGTTAAAAATTAGCATCTACTCCCTCCGTTCCTAAATATAAGTCTTTCTAGAGATTTCAATATGGACTACATACGGATGTATATAGACGTAGTTTAGAGTGTAGATTCACTCATTTTGCTCCGTATGTAGTCCATATTGGAATCTCTAAAAGTGTAGGTTCACTCATTTTGCTCCGTATGTAGTCCATATTGGAATCTCTAAAAAGACTTATATTTAGGAACGCAGGGAGTAGTGATTTCTGTGACATTTTATTTTGACTAGTGACTAAAATTAGCTTCTTGTGATGTTTCTGACATTTTTTGTTGGCCAATGCACTATGTTGTGACTTTCAGTCTTTGTAAGAAGGTTTATGTGTTGTAGTAGTTCCAATATCCTGTTGAACTAGGATGTCTTTGGGTTATCTTGACAGTTGGAAACCTTCTTTTAGCACTTCTGTGTAATTTTGTTTATGTGCTGTTTAGCTAGGGGAGTAGCAGCCAAGACCATACCCTTTTATGTTGCATGGTTTGATGACGGATTAGTATGACAGATCACTTTTTGCTTCATACTTACTGCTACTGCTAGTAAGGTCTCCTTGTGCATGCCTTTAATAAAGATGAGTGTTTTCTTATGCTGACTGTGATGTTGAATTTGATCGTGATTCTCAGATGCTCATTTTGCTGCTATCAATGTTTTCCAATTGATTATCTGTTATTATTTCTGGGACTTCAGCATTTAACTCGAACTTCTGCTTCTATTACAGCTTCGACCTGGTCATATCTTTAATATTGGAGCAGGAAAACAAGCTCTGAAGAATATAAATTCGCTCGCTTTATTCTCCAATATAGAAGTGAATCCACGTCCCGATGAGACAAAAGAAGGTGGTATTGTTGTTGAAATTAAGCTTAAGGAACTAGAACCAAAGTCTGCTGAAGTAAGCACAGAGTGGAGTATTGTACCTGGACGTCAAGGCAGACCCACCCTGGTAAAATACCTACTCATTTCTCAGCTTTCTGTTCTCTGTGAATTCTTTATTTAAAATATTCCCTCCGTCCGTTTTTTACACTACACTAGTGTCAGAAACGCTCTTATATTATGGGACGGAGGGAGTACATGACTAATGAGAAAACTACAGAACATTGCAATCCTGTTATGCGGCATCGTATCTGATAGAAAATTTCTTTTAGGCATCCATTCAACCTGGAGGAACTGTGTCATTTGAGCACCGCAACATCTATGGTCTTAACAGATCCATTGTTGGTTCTGTGACATCCAGCAACCTGCTCAACCCTCAGGTTAGTTCGTAACGTGTCATCTTTTTCTTGTAGTTTTTGTTTGCTTGCTTATAGTTACTGTTAGATCATCATTGAGGAATCTTTTTCGGCAAAGATTCACAGCATAAGTCAAGCATGTCACTCTTGATCCGATATTTATCTGTTTTCTTCGTTACGCTATCATCTTGGAAGTGTACATTTGTACATGTCTACACTTCTGTCTACAAAATCCTTAAGCAGAATTTAACTTTAATTGCCCGCTACGATATAAAAGAAAAGAATAGTCCATATTGTAACTGTTAAAGTGCAACCCTGTGATACGTAAGACACACATACATGTCTGCTAACTTTCTATCATCATCAGCGGACATCGATTCATTTCCTTTTGGCCTTGTATTTGTCTGTCTTTAGACAACCTAATATGGATCTAGCATTCCTTCCTGAGAAGTTTTATCACTTCTGAATTTTGGTTTTCCACATGTATGTGCTTATCCATTTGTTTTGTGGGTCTTTAGGATGATCTTTCATTCAAGCTTGAATACGTCCATCCTTATTTGGACGGTGTGGATGACCGTAATAAGAACCGCACCTTCAAAACTAGCTGCTTCAACACCAGGAAATTGAGTCCTGTCTTTGTTGCTGGCCCCAATATGGATGAAGCTCCACCTGTCTGGGTTGACCGAGTTGGATTTAAAGCCAACATAACAGAGGTTTGCACAAATTGATATTACCTTCTACATATTTTGTTTTTTGTGAACTATTCAAGAAACGTCTCTAACATGAGGAAAATAACACTTCTGGATTTCAGAGCTTCACAAGGCAGAGCAAATTCACATATGGCCTCGTGGTGGAAGAGATTACAACACGTGATGAAACCAACAGTATCTGTACACATGGTTCTCGGGCAATGCCTAGTGGCGGCTTGAGCATGGATGGACCTCCCACGACCCTCAGTGGTACTGGTGTAGATCGAATGGCATTTCTACAAGCAAATATTACTCGAGACAATACAGAATTTGTAAATGGTGCAGTCATTGGTGACAGATGTATTTTCCAGGTATGCTGACCTGCAGCCTTATGTTTCTGAAAACACAAAGCAAACCTTATTACTAAGCGGCTCCAGACAAGGATAAAATCCTGTACTTAATAATGTCGAAAAGGACAAGACCTCTTTATGGTTTATATTTGCTTCAACCTCGAGACTTCCACACAGTACATAAAATTGAGTTTGGTCACATTCCAGTGAATGTTTTTGTTTATTATATATGTTCAGTAGTAACAGAGCCTGTAATTTATTTGTTAAATTAAATGTTTTGATAGCTCTGCACAAGCCTGTGAACATGTCTCTTTTACTGTTTAATGCCATCATGTGCCTGTAGAAAAATTCGTGGCGATATATTTTCTTATGAGATTTTTCTTGTTAACTGCAGTTGGATCAAGGTCTTGGCATTGGAAGCAAAAGCCCACTCTTTAACCGTCATCAGCTTACATTGACAAAGTTCATTAATTTAAATAATCAAGAGAAAGGTGTTGGCAAGCCGCTGCCAGCTGTGTTGGTTCTTCATGGTCATTATGCAGGTTGTGTAGGAGATCTGCCGAGCTATGATGCATTTACACTTGGAGGACCTTACTCAGTTAGGGGCTATGGTATGGGTGAACTGGGTGCATCTAGGAATGTTCTGGAGGTGAGTATTACTACAGAACCTTGGAATTTAGTCTGATGCATCATTTTTAACATCAATCATGTTATGTTTTGTGAGTTACTGCTTACCTTTTGATTTGTTTCATTAGATTGGACAAGTTTAAATAATCGACATGTGTCATCACATAATTTAGTGTTAGATATGTTGGTCGTTGCTTTGTTGGCAGCTCATGTTTATTTGCCTCTTAATCCACACAGGTTGCTGGTGAGGTGCGCATACCCGTGAAGAACACATATGTTTATGGATTTGCTGAGCATGGCACCGACCTTGGGAGTTCCAAGGATGTGAAAGGGAACCCTACTGAGTTCTTCCGACGCGTTGGCCATGGATCTTCTTATGGTGTTGGCGTCAAGCTTGGCTTGGTAAGAGGAGAGTACATCGTAGATCACAATACTGGGGCTGGAACCGTCTTCTTCAGATTTGGCGAGAGATTCTGAGTGCATTTCATTCAGCACATATCTTGAAGACGGGATGTTTAATGCACAATTGAGGCGTTGAGTCTCAAAGTGGCTATGCATGTGGGTGTGAACGGCAGGTGACTTGTGTTCTGCTGAATAATGAAGTTTTGTTCCTTCTTTGAGGAAGAGAGATAAGTTAGTGTCAGGGTGAGTTCTTTGCTTCTAGTAGGAAGTAAGGTCTGTTATTGCAGAGCTTCAAGCTGGTTGAATAGATGAAAGCTGAGCTCCTAGTGTTACCAAGGAATGTTTTGACAAGGCTTTGTGTCATAGTCAATTTGTTTCCATGTAACACTTTGTTGTTCAGTCGGTTAGCTTAATTGACAATGCAGTGTTGCGCTTTTCACGTATTATACAATGTAGCTAACTTATGGTGGGTGGTAATTCACTTGTTCATCTTAATTGTTTCATTGTTTTGAATATGTGATCGACCAAGATGAGTGTTTCTTGTTTGTATGTCGATGCTGTTTGCAGTTTGGAATATAGTTTAGTTTCCTAATAATTTTAGAGAAATTGCTTCAGTTATGCTCTATACACTAGTAGAATGCTCGTGTGCTGCCACAGGCATTTTAAAATATTTACTGGTTGTATATACAAACATAATGATCATGTTCTACTGAAAAACCATAATGATCATGTTCTACTGAAAGAACCATCTGAGGCTTATGGATATATGATATTCCTCATTACAATTAATGTCACTAATTTTTTTGATCCATCAAACCATGGATAAGTGCAAAAGTAAATGAATATGAGTTCAGTGGAATAAGGAAGGATAAAATGAATGAACAAATGAATCGCACACATGTCGTTCATCAGTTCTTCTCTAGTCGGAAATGGAACCCAATACGATGTTGTTGCACATTGCATTGCTCCATGAGAAGTCGGAACCTATCACCGCCTTGTCGCTAGCGCTGAGGTACCACATTTAACAATTTCTTCCACCATTGCCCCTAACATCTCTCCACTAGCTTTGTCACGAACCCATGTCCACCATGTTGCACTTCATCTTACGTTGCTTCTCAAGTTCTCATGTAACATAAGTACTACTGTTCAACCAAGCATATCAGTAAAATATAGGCACTATCTACACCAAGCAATCATGCCTGATGCCCACACACACCTCCATGGCATTGCACATGTTACACAGAGTATCTGAAATATAAAAATATGAAAGGGATGACAAAAGAAGGAAGTTGCATGATTAATAACCTATTTATCTAGTGCAAGAAAGCACATCTCTAAACCGCAAAACCAAGAGGTTTTGAGAAATCATAGAGCTGGACGAGCAGTAGGTTTGAAGTTAAAAAAGTATTCATGAGAAACTTGTTCAATTTCTACCAAAGACTGGAAAACTTGCTCAATTTCGGTTCTGTACAAGCATGGTTAGTTCTCAAGTGCACATAAAAAATCTGACTTGGATGAAAACATGCAGCTAGAACAAGTTCAAGTTATGAGCATTCATCAGTCTTCACTTTGGCTAGTTACTGGGACATGTGACTAACATGAAATAAACTGGCAGTACAGAAAATTACAGAGGAAGTGATAAGAATCCATGCATGTTCAGGAGGAAGAACAACAAGGATGATTGTTGCCTGATATTGAAACCATAATTCTTCCTTCTATAACACAGAGGAACCGCACACATTTTGCTAATCAAACCGACCACAACATAATAGAGCAAACTATGCACTCAAGCAAGAGCAATCTGACTTCTAAAGATGATAGGGAAAGCACACACCGTGGCTGGCTAGTGGTACAACATTAATTATGACTAATATGTAAACAACTGCATGTATGAGAAAACATAAGTGTATGTCTCCTGTGAACGGCTGAAAGAATCGACCGAAAATAAAATTAGTTTCAAATTTTGTGTGAAGTATATCAGTATAACTTTTAGGTCGTTTATAACCAGCCCAAATAAATGCACTCTAGTGAGGCCCAATATCATGCCAGAACAACCTTCCTAAGCCCACCATACCTAACCCCTATAAAAAGAGACCTTTTCTTTTTTGCTAGAACTACAAAGAGACTTGCGGCTGAAGCACAACAATATACCTCTTTTAGGTAGCGAAAAAGGAGAGAAAAGAAAGATTGAAGAAGAAGAGGAGAACGAAGCTAGAAAATGGGAAATTACAAGGAAATGTAGATGATAAACTTGCAGCAAAGCATGGCAGATCAATCCAGGTCAGATCCCTAGCAATCTAATTTCCTAAATTTCACATGATTGTGTCCTGCAGATCACTACTTCTCGAGTAATGCTAATGCGCACTGGATCAACATGCTTTGGCTAACACTAAAAAGAAGACGAAAAAGAAGATCATAGGAATTAGAGCACAATTACACTGAACTTTGCATAAAAAACATAAGGAAAATCCACTTCTGGCTAGTGTAACTCATATCCAGATGTATGGTAAAACATGAGAAAAGTCACTAATAAAGCTTAGAATCCCAGTTACATTGAAATTTCTATGCATTAAAAGGCAAATCACAATGCACCTAGAGTAGAGATTACAACACAACAAGAGGCAAAACTTAAAGTGAATTTGGCAAGAAGATACGGCTACGAAATACTGTAAGTAATGTAAAGGAATGTACTTTTTTTGAAACTAGGCAAAAGCCTTGCCATTTCATTGATTAAGGAAGAAGGTTTTAGACAGGAGCCGCAAGCGGCAAACTAAAGAAAAACTACTCTCGCGGCATTACAATACCCAAGTGCTTGGCACCTGCCAAAACCCAGAGCGACGCCTCGTGCTTGATCTTGTTAATGATGACCACCGAAGGGACCGCCACGTTGCGGAAGACTCTAGCGTTTCTCTCGGGCCAAATCTCCCATGAGATGAGCATCATCAATAAGGCAAGGGCTTTGGGGGAGCCGAGACGAATCTGAAGGTTACCGTTCCACCATCCTTTGACCGAAGCGCTCGCCGACCATGAAGTAGTAGAGATGTGGTGCATTCCAAGCCACGGTAGGATGTCGTTCCAAATGCGCAATGTGAAGCGGCATTGGAAGAGTAGGTGAGCAGCGGACTCCTGTGCATGCTTACAAAGAGGGCACGATCCGTAGTTGGGCCAGCCACGACAGATCAAGCGGTCTGATGTCCAGATCCTATTTTGAAGAACTACGCAAGCAAAAAATTTGCACCTCGGGGGAGCCCACACCCTCCACACGGACTGCACAAGATCAGAGGATGCCAGACCTTCAAACTAAGCCTTGTATGCCGAGGAAGCACGATATATCCCATTCTTAGTGAACTTCCAAATAATCAATGTAAGAGAATGTAAGCTATATGTAAAACAATAGATACTGCCTACTAATAATACTTTTGATTGCTGAGTTCAGAGATTACAACCTATCCTAACACAAACTAAACTGAAAATTGAAATATAAAAAACACAGTTCTAACTATTGTAACTTTAGAGTTCTACAAGTTAAAAAAAATCAACAAGGAAATTACAGCGAGATCTTAATGACAAACCTATAGTTTATTTGCTTGAGGACTTTATAAGGTTATCATCACGTGGATCAATTCTGGTCGATAACTATTGGTATCATGTGAAACTTGAGAAGCCAAAAGTTAGAACCATTCAGAAATTACAGTGAACCCCAAGAAGTCATTCTCGTTAGAGCATCTCCAGCCGCGCCCCCAATAGCCCCCCCCCCCCCGCCGAATTTTTAGCGCCGGCGGCCGAAAATCGGCCCAGCCGCGCCCCCAGGATCTCGTTTAGCGCCGGTTTGGGCGAAATCCA